TATCTATCTATCTATCTATCTATCATCTATCTATCTATCTATCTATCTATCTATCTATCTATCTATCTATCTATCTATCTATCTATCTATGCCTATTACACACATTCTCGACTCTAGGGGGCGGTGCTCATCTCCGTTCCAAAGCCGAAGAGCCAGCGCTGTCCAAAGACGTCTCCGTGGTCATGTGGCCGGCATGATTCAACGCACGGAACGCTGTTCCCTTCCCACCAAAGGGGGTTCCTATTTCTCTACTTGCATTTTTAACCTGCTTTCGAACTGCCAGGTTGGCAGAAGCTGGGACAAGTCACAGGAGCTCACTCCGTTAGGCGGCGCTAGGGATTCGAACCGCCGAACTATTACTTTAAAAAAAAACAAAAAAACAGAAGAGCCACAGCACGATTCGATCACATGCTAGGGAGCCCCTAACGCAGCATTTTGGAAGTGTCTGGTTTTCGACACACACACACACACACACACAGCTTCAAATGGCGCGAAGAATATCGTTTACCTGCGAAACTGTTCATGGAATCTATCGCGATGTCCTTGCAACGTATCGGCTGGCAAACCTGAAGAAGTGAAAAGTTCAGAAACTTCATTTTTAATCAGAGATGGTGGGAAAAATAAAGCAAACCATTCTTTTTTTTTTTACAAATAAGCCATGAAGGCCAATTTAAAAAAACTGGGTTTTGGAGCCTGGGACCATCCTCGAAGGGAAAAGCGATGCAGAAAACCCGCTTTTCAAGTCCCAAAGGTGCTTTTTTCAGGAGGCCGCTAGAAATTTCTTGCTTTTTTTTCCTTTTCTTTCGAAGGCGTTTCGCTTCTCATCCAAGAAGCTTCTTCAGCTCCGACTGGATGGGGGTGGAATGGAAGGATTTATACACCTAGCAGACAGCTGGTCATTTGCATCCTTTTTTTAGAAGGTCGTTGAGGCCACTTGGAGGTTTTTATCCGTGTCCTCAGGGTTACCTGAGTGGTGCAAATGATTCCTGTAATCTGCAATTTTATTTCTCTGGAAATCCACTCCTACCATTCCAAGGGGCTTCATCCCAAATTGTACAGCTAAAAGTCTGTAGAGATTCTCAGCCATCCAGGTCATGGCTGCCCCAAAGGTGCTTTGACCACTGGACTTCCTTGTTTTTTTTCCTTGAACCCGTTTCGTATTCTCATCCAAGAAGCTTCTTCAGCTCTGACAGAATGGTGGTGGAATGGAAGGATTTATACTCCTTCCAGACAGCTGGTCATTTGCAACCTTTTGAGAGGGTCATTGAGGCCACTTGGAGGATTGATACTCCTTGCAGACAGCTGGTCATTTGAATCCTTTTGAGAGGGTCATTGAGGCCACTTGGAGGATTGATATTCCTTGCAGACAGCTGGTCATTTGCATCCTTTTGAGAGGGTCATTGAGGCCACTTGGAGGATTTATATTCCTTGTGGACAGCTGGTCATTTGCGTCCTTTTGAGAGGGTCATTGAGGCCACTTGGAGGATTTATATTCCTTGCAGACAGCTGGTCATTTGCATCCTTTTGAGAGGGTCATTGAGGCCACTTGAGGATTTATATTCCTTGCGGACAGCTGGTCATTTGCATCCTTTTAGAGGGTCATTGAGGCCACCTGAAGGTTTTATACTCTTGCAGAGAGCTGGTCATTTGCATCCTTTTGGAGGGTCATTGAGGCCACTTGGAGGTTTTATACTCCTTGCAGGCAGCTGGTCATTTGCATCCTTTTGAGAGGGTCATTGAGGCCACTTGGAGGATTTATATTCCTTGCAGACAGCTGGTCATTTGCATCCTTTTGAGGGGGTCATTGAGGCCACTTGGAAGATTTATATTCCTTGCAGACAGCTGGTCATTTGCATCCTTTTGAGGGGGTCATTGAGGCCACTTGGAAGATTTA